GCAACCTTTCATTATATTTGAAAGTAGATTATTATACTAAACTCTTTAATATAAACTTAAAAATAGTTATTTTTCTCAAATTTATTTTTATTATTTTTTTTAGGTTAAATATAAGAAAAATAAATATATTTATAATTTTAGGGGTTTAAAAATTGAGATTTTAAAATTTATTCGCAGTTTGGGCACATTTAGGGTCTGTTTGTTTGGAGGTTTGGATTTTGAGTTGTGATTTGAATAGTAAAAATTTTGAATTTGAATAGTTGTATGATTTGATATAAATAGATGTTGATGTGATGTTTTGAATGTAAAATTGATTTTTAGTATAATATAAAAAATGAAAAATAGATGTTTTATTTAATGTTTTTGGGCGAAAAAATTGGATGAATAGTGTAAATCCAATCCAATCCCCCGAACAAACACACCCTAACATACTGTTAAATAAAGACTGTCGAGGGATTAGACGCAAAGTTTATGAAACCACAAGGGAGTTTGACACAGTTTTAGAAATACTAAAAATTTTGCGTAATTTCGTGAAACCACATGTGAATTTTTGTGCAATTTAGCCTTTAATTTAACACCTTTAAAAATCTAAGTAAAATAATTTAATGTATATATATATAATATTATTAGTCGTGACCTGTGTTATATACGGGTATTAGATTATAGTCCTTTTATTATCTAAACTTTATTTTTTTAATTTATCTTTTAAAAATATTTATTTTCTTATTTAATAAAAAGTATATATTCTTATTAAAATATACTTTTTCACTCACATAAAAGATAAATATTATATACTTTTACACAATTGTTAATTAATATTATATATTTAAGTATAACAATATTTAAACACATTAACATTATACATCATTACTTATTATTTACATATTTTCATATTTAAAAGATTCAAATTAAAAATACTAAATAAATACATTTCATAGTATATAACTTTTTTAAAAAGCATAAATTAGATTATGTATATTACTAATAATTTTAAATTTAAGGTTATCTACATTGATATTCCTCTATAAAATTAAAATAAATTAGAAAAATAGTATTTATTGAACAAATATTTTTTAAAAATATTTTTATTTATTATATATTTTTTATTTAAAATATCAAAATAATACTTATTTACTCCATATAATACTCCATTTGTCCTAAAATTAATACCCGTACTATTTTTATTTTTGTCCGACCCAAATCAAGGGTATTATTTCCTAATTGTATAGTCTACCTAATAGTATAATTAATATTCTTGCAACTTCTAATATATTATATAAATGTCATTAATTTTATATCACACTATCTACATTTTTGTCTTTCTCATTATAAATTAATATAATACTAATATTAAAAAATCTACGTACAAAAGACAAATAGTTTTATGGGTCGAAAGTAATACTTCCTCCGTCCCATATTGAGTGTCTTGGTCACTGTAGACATGATAATTTATGATAAGTATAATTAGTAAATAATTAATAATTTATTAGTGAAAATATTTAATCTATAATATAAATTATTATAAATTAAGATTAAGATAACTAATTAGTTTAATTAAAATTAAAAAAATTTACATTAGAAAATTTAAAATAAGATTAAGAGGGATAATCATTTTCGAAAAAAGGAAAATGACATTAAATGTGGGACGGACAAAAACAACAATATAGACATGGTAAGTGGGACATAGTAAATAATATTTATTTCCAACATGAAATTTAAATAGGTAGTATATTAAATAGGATAATATAAAAATTAAATTAAGTGATGAGAAAGAAATATATACATATATTTTATATGAATGATATGATGAGATAAAGTATAATGTAGGGGTTAAGTATATTTAATTATTTATAATTTTAAAAATATTATCCGGCGTTTAAGACATATAAAAAATATTGTAAAATATTTTACACGAAAAAAATATTTATTAATTATTTAGTTTAAGATTATACTATTTTGAAATTATTATTTTAAAAATATATTAAAACAAATAAATTAATAAATAAATAATAGTAATAATAATAATATCATATAATATTAATATAATAATATATATTAAACGGGGGACCCACTAAATAATTTTTGAAAAAAAAAAAGAACCACTCGATAGCCGTCCTCAAATATATACAGTACTCTTTCCGTCCCACGTTGGATGTCTAGGTCACTGTAGTGGAAATTGAAGATAAGTATAATTAGTAGATAATTAAGAATGTATTAGTGAAAATAATTATAGATTAAGGTTAAGATAACTAATTAATTTATTAAAATTAAAAAAAGAAAAATTAAAAAATTTAAAATGAGATTAAAATGTATAATCATTTTCCTAAAAAGAAAGTGATATAGGATGTGGGACAGACATAAACGGTAATGTGGACATGATAGGTGGGACGGGGGAGTATCATATTAGATTAGTATTAGGCATTCTTTTGAGATTGTTTTTCGTCTTCTTGCTACTTAATTTTTTATCTTTTAAATATTAGTATTTTTTAATTCTAATTTAAGGTAATATTTTTATTATTTTTGTTTGTTATATTGAAAATATTTAATTTTTATTATAATAAAAATAATCATACATAAATTTTATATAATTTACAAATATATCATTACATATAAAATTAATTTATAAATAAAGTACAAAAAAACAAAAATATCAAGATTATCTTTTTCATCCTCACCTTCGAATGCCTCAATTCGAGGAGGCCTCATATGACCGAGGGCCATCTGCTTCGTGTGAGATGTAGCTCGGTCAAGTGAGGTCCAACAACGTCGAGCAAGGTCCAACTGCATCGAGAGAGGTACGACTGTGATCGAATCGAAATCGAGTCCAAATACCTTTTTAAGTAAGTCGAGGAATCATCACACCACATCCGCTTTTCAACCAGCCAAACCCAATTGACTGTCAAAGTCAAAATTCAAACAACAACAATGTTATAAATTTTCTTACAAATAAAATATAATTATTTATTATTATAAAAAATAAACGGTAGCCGACTTAAATAATAATAATAATACTAATAATAATAATAATAGAAACCTATATATAGACATTGCTCCGTATATTCAAATTATAACAATCTAGTCCCTAAAGGATGATCGGGTGGTGTGGAGAGTGAACTTGTGACCGTGAAGTTATGAGCTCAAATCTCAACGCCTCAAGATCCACTTGCTCCACATGATTCGCTAATATATCTATATATATATATATATGTAATAATTAACATAATAGATAAAATCAAATCTAAAACATAAAAAAGAGATAAGAGATAATGTAGACACATAACTCTCACAAGACAGATACATTCTAAATTGAATGTATAATTACAAAACTAAAAAAAAAAAAAAGAAAAAAAAAAAGAAAAGTATAATCATATCACTATAAAACTACTCTTACTGTTTCATTATTATTACACAATTGTCACTATCTTTTACACTAATACACTCACAAAGGTAAAAATATTTTTTACCTATATTTTTTTTACCCACTATCAATATAATATCAATATTGCTTAAATCTTGTGTCCAACATAACTAAGACTATAGTTCCGGGACGAAGGGACTATTAGAGTAGGACAAACAAAATATTAAATAATCTTTACTATTATTATTTAAAAAAGCAATAAAATAAATAATAAAAACTAGTATGGATTCTTGGTGTGTGTCCATGCCCCATCTGTCTCTCTTATCTAAATAGTTTAAAGTACTAAATTGAAAGACAATTTGGTGGTGACATTTTAGAGAGATCAGACTCGTTATATCTATATATTTTTAAAAATTTTGATATTATTTATTAATAATTTAAAAATATTATATCAAGTATTTATTTTATATCACAAAAGAAATATTATTTACAATTTTTTTCTAAACTTTAAAAACTTCTATATAAAGTTTACATATTTTAGATATTCAATTTTAGATTTAGTAGATTTATATCTAGATTTGATCGTATCCATAGATTAGATTACTTAGATTTGAGTTTATTTTGTATTGCCTGTATATAGACTTCTTATTTTGATAATCAAGATGACCATCTCATTATTTTCCCTTAAAATTTCTAACATGGTATCAGAGCATGGTGTTCCAAAACCAAAACCCTAGTCGTCGCCGTCGCTGTTCGCCGTCCATCGTCTGCCCTTCTCCGGTGGTCGTTTTTTTTTTCGTCGCCGCCTCCTGCTTTGTTCCCTAGTCGTAGTGTGATTGGCTTTGTCATCAGAATTGATCTCGTTTTGCGACTGCTATCTATTGGATTGTTCGATCTACTTTTTTTTATTTGAACTTTAATTTCGTAATTCATATATTTTTATACGTTTTTTTTGAATCAGTTGAACTATTGATTGTTTATTCAGATCTAGGGTTAGCCACAATTATTAATGTGCTCCGTCTGTACAAGGGCAAAATAGGAATACATGTCCCGACAACATGCACGCTTTGATATGTTTTAAAGATATTTTAGTATTTTTAAAATAATAAAAATTTGAATTTAGAGAAAAAAATGAAAAAAAAAAAAGAAGAATATTCTGAATAGAAAGTAGGGTTTTAATACAATATTTTATATTTTCTCTATCCAAAATTAATATATCTATATTATCATTTTAATTTGTCCACACTCAATTTACAATTTTATATTTAGAATGTGCTGTCATACAATAATGGAATACCCTTAAATTTAATTTAAAATTAATAACATACTATTTTCGTATTTTTTTCGTCCTCCTCTAAAGGTCACAGTTATTTTTTATGTCATTATATTTAAAAATATCAGTGTATAATTTTTTGTATAAATGTATTTCTATTAGTATTATAAGAGACGAATGAAAATAATTTTGTAATTTTTTCTTAATTTGTACTACGTTTTAATATAATAATTAATATTTAAAGATTAATCCGCAAAAGATTCTTAATCAGTATTTAAATATATATATTCTTTCTCGGCTCCTATCACATATAAAATACAATATCTTTTTAACATATGCAACAAAAGTTAAGTATTCAATGTAAATGAATATTCATATAAATTAAATGAGTATTCGATTTTCCAATATAAAGGGAGTATCCTATCAACATTATTGCTTCCAAATTAAAGCTACAAATACTAGGAAATGTTGTCATAGAGAGATTGTGTGTGTTCTTTGATTTAGGACAAAAAGAAAAAAAATAAAATAAAATAAAAATCGATGGCTCGAAATGTCGCGAATAACTTTGGCAAGGAAGGCGCAAATCAATATCGCCGAGTTGTCGGTAACTATTCTCCAAGTTTATGGGGTGATTTGTTCCTCAAATACACTCCCGATGAACAGGTTTAGTCTACTCTTTTGTCACCCTTAATTCTAACATCTTATTCATTTTCGTCGACGTATGTGTTCATGTGTTTCTTTCAATATATTTTTTTCTATCTTCTTATTTTCCGAATGGTATAAAAATTAAGGCTAAGAATGAAAAGAAAAGAAGGAATATATGAATAATTATTTGATTAAGAAGAAAATGTTTATTATGGGTTGTTTACTTGTTTTTTTTTCCTTAATTTGTACTATTTAATTTATCTCATACACATACACATATATATTCAAGAAATCATACATAAAATTTTTAATTTTCATTTAATATATCACATCAAATAATTATTATTACTTAAACACAAGTACATAAACCATATGTTGAAGGCAATTTAAATTTAGTTATGGTTCAAGCATGTTTCATGTTTCCTTGTGTTTGAGAGTAGATTTGAAAATTTTCAATGTATTTTGGAATAAACAATTTATTTTGTATATCATATTTTAAATAAATAAATAAATAAAACAATATAAAAGTTATGGGTTTGTTGTTTAGTATTTTAATTTTAGGTTTTTTTTTTTTTATGTGAAGTATAAAAAATTATATTAATAATATAAAAAATAATATTTTGTTTTGAATATTGTTGGAGATTACTATATTTATATTATATATTGATAATTGTATTAAAAAAAAAATTGTAGGCAAACAAGTCCTATATTACTTGAATAAAATATATATTTTAATGTAATATAGTGTGGAAAACGAAAAGACAAAATATACACCTTTATGATTAAAGAACCGTTTTTAATCTAACACGATCTAAAGGTCAGGGGCTAAGAGTTTCGCCATTAGGCTACATCTTCATTTTGTTGATGGAAGTGTGTATTATTAATAATTCTAAAATAAAAAATAATATATATGATTAAAAAATTTAAAATATATATTTAAATATTTTAAAATTATATCTCAATAATATATATGCAATATGTATATCATTTTGTAGATAATAAAATTTTATATAATAAAAATAAATAAAACATATATATTTTTTATAGGGTAAACTGATTTTTTAGTCCCATGACTGGACCCCTTATCATTTTAGTCTCGTAAGTGGAGCCTGTCGCAAACTAGTCCCATAAGTGAAAAATTTTCGTTGTTTTAGTCCTCCAGCGCCGGAGACGCCCGCGTGGCTCGCCGCAGGTGACACCTGGTGGACACGTGGATTTTTTATTTCATTTTTTTAATTTTTTTTAAAACTTATTTTTAATTTATTTTTAATTTTATTTGCATTTTTTATTTTTTTTATCTGGTCCAATTAAAAAAAAATAAATAAATAAATCCATGTGTCCGCCGGGTGTCGCTGATCTTGCGGGACACCTGGCGGACACGTCACCTCCGGCGAGCCACGCGGGCGTCTCCGGCGCCGGATGACTAAAACAGCGAAAATTTTTTCATTTATGGGGCTAGTTTGCAACAGAATCCACTTACGGGACTAAAATAATAAGGGGTCCAGTTACGGGACTAAAAAAACAGTTTACCTTATTTTTTATTTATTTATGATTAAGATAAACTAATTTTATAAAGGATCAAAATTTTTAAATATAGATAAAAATATTTGTTTATTGAGGAGAAAAATAAAAATGAAGAGGTTTTGAATAGGTCAATGACATATAATATTATATGTTACAAAGTTAATTAAGTCGATTTATATTGATTAAGTATGTATTAAATTAATAAAATTTACCAAATATAGAAATGTATTATTTGTTACACGACAAATTAAAATAAAAATGGTATCATTTCCGATAGGACGGAAGAAGTATATTATTTTTTTTTAAATAATATTTATAAAAATTGTATTATTAAAAAAAAAAAAAAAAAAAGAGTGAACAAACTCTTTTAAGATTTGGTTTTGTTTTGCACTAACAGCTTATGAAAGAATATTCGAAGGAGATCGAAGTGTCGAAGGGTAAAGTTAGGAGTATGCTAACAACTCCTACGAGTTACAATGACATCGTCAAAACGATGGATCTAATTGACACAATCGAACGCCTATGCTTGTCTTACCACTTTGAAGATGAGATCAAAGACAAGTTGGAAAAATTTTTCGATCTTGATGTCGATTATAAGAATGAATCCTACGATCTCCATACCATTGCACTTCACTTTCGATTATTCAGAGCGCAAGGCTATCATATGTCCTCGGGTATGTCCTTGTCGTATCTTTTTAACTTCTTCTACATAATTGTAAATATATAAACTAAATTAAAATTTACCTATCTTTGAAGTGTAAAATACTTTTTTCTAGTCACTGAAGGCATCTCCAACCCAGCGCCAGTTTATTTGGCGTCGGTTGGAAATCTTGCGCCACTTTTTGGCGTTGCTACAGTGGCGTTAAATAATTTTTTTTTTTATATGTATTTTTTTATTTTTTTAAATTTTTTAAACTTTTAATTTTAATTTTTAAATTTATTTTTTTATTTTTCTAAATTTAAATAAAATTATTTTAAATTATAAAAATAAAAACTTGTTTAAAATAATAGGAAAATTAAAAATAAATATTTGAAGAATAATAGTGAAAAGTAAAATTATGATTGGAGTAAAAACTGAATAAATGGAGTTGATGAATTGAAAACCACAAACAATAGACATATTTCTTTTATTTAGTTAGTGTGGATCTTACAATACTAACAAATATTTTATCATTTCATGTAAATTACCAAACTACCCATTTTCAAGAGTATAGTGTGGTTGTTCTGGGGATTGGATTTTAAATCCACTATTCATCATATTTTTTTTTTAAAAAAAATATCAAATCAAACACTTATTTTTAATTTTTTATATTATACTAAAAATCAATTTTACATTCAAAATATCACATCAAAACCTATTCATATCACATTATACAACTATTCAAATTCAAAATTTTTACTATTCAAATTTCAACTCAAAAGCCAAGCTCCCAAACAAACATAGGGATGGATGAAGTATATAAAAGTATGAGAAGTTTTTCAACATTTCATATATTTTCTTAACCAATCAAGTAAAATAGATTATTTTGGAAATTTTCGTACTAATCATTAATATAACATTTTTTTTTTTTAAAAAAAGAAGATATTCATTAAATACAATTGTTTCTCACAAAATATTATATCAAATGTCTTAACCTTTTGCTATTTATAAAATTTAAAAAAAATCAAAATTTCTGTCTAAACGAAACCTTTATTTCCGAAAATTTAGATGTTTTCAACAAATTCAAAGATAGTGAAGGAAATTTCCAAGAATCCCTAAAGAGTGATGCAAGGGGTTTGTTAAGTCTATACGAAGCCGCTCATCTACGGATACATGGAGAAGACATCCTCGACGAGGCTCTAATTTTTGCAACTTCAAATCTCAAGTCCATAAAACAAACTCTCGATTCACCCCTTAAAGAAGAAGTCGAGCACGCTTTAGTTCAGCCTTTGCATATGAGCTTTCCAAGAGTCGAAGCACCGAAATTTATATCAATTTATGAAAAACGAAAACAAAATTATAACTTCCTTATTAGATTCGCCAAATTGGACTACAATTTATTGCAAGAACTTCACAAGAAAGAGCTTTATGAAATCTCAAGGTACCTTTATCATCAACTCACATCCTACTTCTATATCTAAATTTATTTATTTATTTTTTTCGAATACCAAAAAAAAATTAACAATGATCTACTCAGGTGGTGGAAAGAGTTGGATGTTCCATCGACACTTCCATACGCTAGAGACAGAGTAGTCGAGTGTTATGTTTGGGCAATAGGGACGTATCACGAACCTCAATATTCTCATTGCCGAATTTTACTCACCAAAATCATTGCAACAATATCCTTACTTGATGACACATACGATTCTTATGGTACGACCGAAGAACTTAATGTTATTACAGAGGCTATTCAAAGGTAACAAGAAATTAATTTTCTTATTCTTATTTCACATTGACCTGTTTGAATTAAGGATTACGTTTTAAATTAGGTGAAGTTTGGGATGTAAATATATTACAACTGATTGTGTTCGAGATATTTCAGGTGGGATATTAACCAGATCGATCATGTTCCCGACTATTTTAAATCATTCTACAAAGCACTTTTGGAACTCTACGAGCAATTCGAAGAAGAACTAGAAGAGAGTGGACAATCTTATGCAGTATGCTATGCCAAAGAAACTGTAAGTTGAGTTATAATTTACACTATCCTGTAAAAGTTATTTTGATGCGAAAAATGCCATACTTGTCGACTTTAATTAGTGTCATAAGCAATGTCAATATACTAAAACTGACATCAATCAGTAATGTTTGAGGTATTTGTCCTCAGAGAAGTTCTTTTTTTTTTTTGAAGGCATAACATTTTTTTGTTTATTTATGTTAGTTTTTGGGATGCAGATTGAGGTAGATTTAGCCCAATCAACATATATAATAAATGTAGACTATATATATTATATACAACATAGCATATAATTGATAACAAAATATATGTTGTGTTATGTAAAAATATATGTTGTCTATCTTTATTATACTATCTCTTTCCGCCTCTGAGGGTCACATTTACGTTTGCGCTATTGTATTTAATATTAAAAATATCTTTATATTTGTATAATTTTTTGTACAAATGTTCTTGTATTAGTATTATAAGACACTAATGGAAGTATATTTGCAATTTTTTCTTAATTTGTACTACGTTTTGATATAATAATTAATATTCAAAGACGGTTGATTGGGTTAAATCAATACATTTTTAGTATTCTAAATTTATTTAGAAAATTTATATGTTACTATAAATACATACAATTCTTTGTGAATGCACAAATATATTTAAATATCTTCTTTATGCTTTGGTTTTGTTTTGGTGATCTTCGTTGTGATATTTTTGAAAATACAAGTAAGCAAATCATATACCATTTGTTTCGAACTTCATAATATAGCTAAGTATCTTTCTTATTGTCCCAATCCATGAGACAGCTTAAAGAGTTAGCGAGAGGCTACAATGTTGAGGCCAAATTGTTCGATGAGGAATGCTTGCCACCATTCGATAGATATCTAAGCAATGCTATTGTTACGTCCACCTACTATTGCCTTTCAATCGCAACACTATTAGGAACACCATTTGCGACTAAAGAACACTACGAATGGTTGATGACGAAACCTAAGGTGCTAGTAGCCAGTTGCATCGTTTGTCGTATTGTTGATGATGCAGCAACATACGAGGTGCGCATCTTTATAAATCTCCATGTTTGGATTATACCCTTTTTAATGTTGCAATCTCTGCAAATTATTTGTCGTATCGATTATTTACTATTACTATTGTTATGATTATAGGTTGAAAAAGAGATTCGAGGCCACAAAGCTACTGGCATTGGATGTTATGTGGAAGAGAAAGGAGTTTCGGTCAAAGAAGCCATAGATAAATTCTATGAGATGGATGAAGATGCATGGAAGGATATGAATGAAGAGGTTCTCAAACAGTCGAGACAGTCAAGGGAAGTTCTTACACGAATCTTGAATTTGGCGCGCGTGATAGAAGTTGTTTACAAGGGTACTCAAGATGGATATACACTGCCGGAGAGAGTTTTGGCGTCGCATATAAAGTCGATGCTCGTGGATCCCATCAAAATTTAAGACATGATCAACCAAGTCATTCTTAATTAGTAAGTTTATGCATATGTTTGTGGTGTGTTTATGTGAGAATTAATAAGAAGTGGAAATGGTCATGTACTCTTCATATGTATCCTTTGTGTGCAAGCTTGCTTTTGCTTTTGTTCTGTTCTGCTATTAATACATGATAGTACTGTGTTTTTCTTCAATAAGCTACCTTTAATTTTTATACTCTCTCCGTTCCATGTAATGTGGGTGTATTACTGTAGACACGAAAATTTAGGTAAAATATAATTAGTAAATAATTAAGAAGGGTATTAGTAAAAATAATTATTATTTAGTAAAAATAATTATAGATTAAGATTAAAATAAGTAAATAATTTAATTAAAATTAAGAAAATTATAAAATTTAAAATTTAAAATGCGATTAAAGTGCATAATTATATTTCCAAAAATAGAAAAGACAAGTTATGTGGGACGGACGGAAATAAAAAATAGGAATAAATTATGTGGGACGGATGGAGTAACTGATAGGCGAGGGCTTATAATATATGACAACAAGAAAAGAATAATCATAATAATAATTATATAACGAAAAATAATTATTGGAGTGGTTGGGTTGGGTGTTGATTAATCCCTAGTCATTGGATTAGTATTCAATCTTTCTCTCTCTCTCTATATATACACACACTAGCTTATAACTTATTTGTGGGTATTTAAATATAAAATAATATATTATTTAATTAATTTTTTTTTGTTTTTGAAAATTTATAAAAAAATAAAATTATATATTAATTTAAGTGTTTGATAAATATAACTTATTGTACCTAAAATGCTAATTTTGAAATGCATCGCAACATTTCAAAATAGTTTTTGCACTTTTTTTTTTAATTTTTTTTAAAATTTTTTTGCTCTTAAGAATTACATATTTATTTCACACCAATTAATATATTTTTTTATTACAATATCTATTAATTATTTATTATATTTATTCTAAAGACTTATAAATTTAGTTTTGCAAGTTGAAAGTAATTGAAATTATTATTTTTTAAATGTAATTTTTTTAAAATTTTTTTATTTCAAGGTTTGTTAAAATAAAGGCAAAATAAAAAAAAATATTATTAATTTTATTTATATATATTTTTTATGACATAATTTTTTTTTATTAAAGATAAAGATGAATATATTAAAATAAAGAGTAAACTGATTATTAGTCCCATAACCGAACCTGTTTATCATTTTAGTCCGGCTGTTTTAAAATAAATCTATATAAGTGAAATTTTTTCCCAATTTAATCCTTAATATCTATGTGACACCTATTGGAAAAAATAATAAGGAATCTGAGATGTGACAACAAAATAAAATCACCAAATTTGATAACGATTTCAAATATCCAATTCAGATAAATCCGAGTCACACGTGGGACGAGATTTCTTTGAAGCGAACGAATAATTTACGGAATAACAGATTCCGTGAACCGAATTAAGAAACTTTTGGAATGAAAAAGTTTGAAGAAAATTTGAGAGCGTTTCTTTGAAGAGAAAATTGTTTTTGTGTATCTTTTAAAATGGAGAGGAAATATATATATATATACATTACATATTTTTCATTATTTTGGGGATTATTTTTATTTAATTTTTTTTTTTAAAAAGAAAGAAGCCACCATTGCACCCACTTATATAATTATTTGAATTTTTCAAATCAAAATAAATTAACGACATAAACACAAAAATTAAAATAATTGAACTTTAAGCAATTTGGGCTTGGCTTACGAGTCTCCACGGCCCAAGACCCAAATCTTGACCTTTAATATAATCAAGTCTAAGGCAAGCCCAATCTAGGCTAGGCCCAAACGAAGCCATGCCCAATCCAAACCTAATTTCTTATTTATTATTGTTGTGCAAAACAATATATGGAAGAGTAATGTTTTATGTGTTTCTCACAGGGACAATTCATCATTCTCTCGTTTCTTCCTCTTTCACCTACCCTAACAATACCTACGTGGCATGCTGATGGACACATGTCGGTCAGGTCAGCGTCATGTGGCTGACACGTGTTCGCCACGTAGATTGTTTTAATTGTTTATTTTTTATATTAAAAAAATTACAAAAATAAAAATAAAAATAAAAATTTTAAAAAAAATAAAATATCCATATGCCCGTCAAATCAGCGCCGTGTAACTTCTAATAATTTATACATTAGTATATTTTATAATTATATTTTTTATATTTTATTTTATATTTTTTATATAAAAATAATAAAAAATACATTCGAAAACCTCAAACAAATACATAAGAGAATGAAATAAATAATTTTACTTATTTCTTTCAAACAATACCAAAAAAAACTATCGCAATATGTAGTTGATGTTGTTATAAATTGTTATTTTTTGCAAAGTATTCAAAAGATAATCGAAAAATAAAATTATTTAACAATATGTTATAAATTGTCATATATATATATATATATATATATATATGATATGCTACACAATACGATGATATGATAATAATAATGTCTTTTTGCTTAAGAGGGTGTTTGGGAAAGAACTTTTTGAAGAGCTTCTAATTTATTGAACAACTTTTAGCTGTTTGATCAGTCAAAAAGCTAATTTAGGTGTTTGGTAAATTAGCTTTTTGAAAGAGTTTTTTGGGTTCAAAAACTAATTTCTGAAAAAAATTCATCTACCCAGCATTTTGAAAGAGTTTTTTCATTTTAATTTGGTTATTCTTTATTTACCTTTAAAACTTAATTATTTATTTTATACATATAAATATATTTTTATAGCAGTATCTACTAATTATTTTTAATATATTTAATTTATTAAATTATATTTTATTTTTGTAAATTTTAAAATAATAATAATTATTAATTACATATAAATGATTTTATTTGTAAAATATACAAATTTTTAAAACTAAATCAAATAGAAAAAACAAAGGTTATTAATTTATTTATATATATTAAAACAATAATTAACATAATAAATATATATATACGAAAGATTTATTATTTTATATTTTACATCATTTTGATAAAAAATTATTATTTTTTAGTAAAAATAATTTTTTCAGATCTAAATAATAATAAAAAAAATATTTTATAATATTTTTATAATTTTCAATAATTAATAACAAAAATTCTCATAAATTTCAAACCAAAATGAACAAAATTAAATATTTAAAAAAATTAACATATCAATGTTCTTAACAGTCAGTCATTTTATGTATAAACAACTTATGTCAAACAGTTGTTTTACCAAACACTTCAATACAAACCGATAATTGAATCAACTAGTCAAACCAGCTAATTGAATCAACAAACAACTAAATAAATCAACTAACAGCTAATTGCAAAACGGACCCTAAAAATATTTTGGAATAAAATATCACTTTATAAATAATTTTAGTATGACTAGCCTTTATATATGAACCAATCAAATAAAAAATAAAGATTAAACTATTTCTTTAATTTTGTATATAGCTCATTTATCATTTTAAGACTTTAAATGGGCACTATTTGAAAATTGTTCCGTAAGTAAAATTTTTTCGCTAAAATGGTCATCTGGTGCTGGATTCGCCACGCTGGTCCGCCGGTACCATGGTTCACCGTCGCGGATCGGCCTTTACCGTTCCAGATACGTCGCGGCGTATCGGTCGCGGTGTATCGGTCAAATATCGGCCTATATGATTTTTTTATATAAAATTTATATTTTTTCAAAAAAATAATAAATAATTAATTAAAATACATCAAATTATAAATATAATTAATTTAAAAATATATATTATTGAAAAAATATATTATAATTTATAATAGATCAAAATTTAAAATGAATAATATTTCAACTAAATTAGCGGATATATATATAAATGTAAATGCTAAATTTTATGTTTTGCATATTGTCATTATACTAATAAATTTATTTTAATAACAAAATGATGTACCTTGTGTCCGTCAATGTCAAGATTTCATCTTTATCATCTGCATTATATAAATAAAAATAATTAGAAAAAAAATACAAATAAAATTTTATAAAATGTTCAAACTACGTTTATACTAAATATTTATACTTACCATTCAATACCATGTGGAATGTCGTGGAGGTTCAAAATCATTTTCATCTGGATTCATATTGCTTGGATAAGGAGAGATGTTCGAACCATATTGATTTTCTCTGAATGAACCCCTTCCATATACATCAAAACCTCGATATTCTCTATTATCATTGCTTCTGCTTGATGAACCATAATTTTGTCTACGATCATCAATACTACCCGAACCAGATGTAATCCCTCCGTAATATGTTCCAACTGGTTGGTTGGATCCAAATATAGGAAGATTGGCTGAATCCTGAAGATGTCTGGGTAGATTAGATAAACCGTATCCTGAGTAATAGGGATTATGATATGCATTTGGTTGGTCCCACTCCTGTCTCCCCAATCTATTACTCGAGCTATGAGAAGAATCTCCATAGGAATAACCTATATTCAAGTCTTGCATATGTTCGTGAACTCCAGAATATCTCCTAGTATCTGAAAAATTTGAAGCATCGGCTTCACTTGAAAATTCTGTTAAACTATTTAGAAAATCTCTTTGAGCTTCTATACCAGGACGATATCCATGATCAGTGTCTTGGGTAGCATAATAATTTTCATTTCCTTGAGCCCATCCCATATCACTTGAGTATCGGCTATCCCTGTAGCTCCCACTACCACCACCACCACCACCACCACCACCACCATCATCATCATCATCATCATCATCATCATTGTTATTATTCTTATCTTCACCATTAGTCGATGAAGATGAAGATTCCAATATGATTGCTTTTTTTTTCTTGGCTGTATTTTTGTTTTCTGATTTTTTCTCTTTCGCCTTCTTTTTTCCATCAGCTATAAATTGAGATAAAAGCATATCACTGTCATGATCATTATGCTCACTTTGACCTCGATCTCCACTTTCTTCAATAGCCTCATCCAACCAATTCAAATCACTATCACGAATAAGTGGAGATTCATTTTCTCTAACCCATTCATCTAAAATATCATTTTCATCAAAAATATGATTCAAATCAATTGGGTCATAAAAATCGTCTGTGTCTGTCCTTTGCATAAAATTTTTTACCCGAAGACACATGTTGTAGTGGACATAGACTAGCTTATGCAGT